TTCGTTTGAGGGTAGTTCTCATCAGCCGCAGAGGGTCCTTAGAAGCAAGACAACTAAATGCACTGGGAGAGAAAATTTGATTTCAGAGGATGTTCACGGGTTCAGTTCTCATCAACAACGAAGGAGCATTTCTAGAAGCAAGCAGGCCAGAGCCAGATTCATTGAGAGAGCAGATACCGCTCTGGATGAAACACCGGAAGATAATTTTCAGCGGCATAAGAGGATTCTTCGAAACAAGCAAACCAAACCAGAGACCCGTGGGAAAATGAGACAAGAAACCCCTCGCCAAGTGAAACGAGGGACTGTTCCTCTTGTGAAACAAGGTACCCGCACTCCAAGAAATCAACAAACCCCTCAGCAAACGAAGAAGCAGACACCTAGGCTCCGAAATAATCAGTCTGAGCAGAACAGCTTTGATTTATATGCTGAAGAGGAGACAGAAGGTGGGCCTAGCACGCGTCTTAGAAAAAGAGCTCCTAAGCCCTCAAAAGGCCCTGGAACCAAACCAAAAGAGCAGCAACAGACTGCTAGGAAAAAGGCAAAGAATGCTTCAGCAGGGAAAGCTCAAGGTGGCCGAAATGAAACAAAATTGAAGGAAGAGGATGCAGAATTCGTATGTGATTTTGAAGGCTGTACCATGAGTTTTGCCTCAAAACATGATCTTTCCTCCCACAAAAGAAACATATGTCCAGTCAAGGGGTGTGGAAAGAAATTCTTCTCGCACAAGTATCTGGTGCAACATCGTCGTGTTCACACAGATGATCGCCCCCTTCGATGCCCTTGGAAGGGCTGCAAGATGACATTCAAGTGGGCATGGGCTCGCACTGAGCACATTAGGGTTCACACAGGTGCTCGTCCGTATGTATGCGCTGAGCCAGGGTGTGCACAGACCTTCCGATTCGTGTCAGATTTCAGCCGTCACAAGCGCAAGACCGGGCATTCGGTGAAGAAGAGTAAGAAGTGACTTGGTAATGGAAAACAGATGCAATCATGTAACTTGACTAATGAATCTGTTGTTCCACTTTCAATTGATAAATTAGGAGACAAGGGGAGGGCTAGGGTTTCCCCTGTAATTGCAATTCAGAGTCACCATTGATTCTGATTTCCCTTGGGCCTTCATTTGGCCCATCCATTTATCTCAACAAAGAGCAATTCCTTGGATATTAAGCACATTTTCTCTGAGGTGGATCACAAGCTAATCCTGTTTTAATTGAAATTTCAGATGCTAATCTCATTCATTTGGATCTTGTTAGACTTGCCTCCTTGCAGTTACTGCCCATGATAACATGTTCAGTATGTTAATGCCTACCTTGTTTCCGAATAATCTAACATGTTATGTTATTAGACTTGCTAACATATTATGTTATTAGACTTGCTCGATATAAATCATTGGCACTCTGAGCTCAATTATCGGTGATGTTTCCGAATATTTCATGTTTTCCAATATGTGTATACATGTATGAGATTGGATGTATGATAACATGAACAGTCTCTGACGAAGACATTATTGGAGAAAAAAATTTGCTACTAGACTTCATGGACTCTGGCCTCAAAGCAAGCTACGATTCCTACAACACATAATGAATTCTTTTCATAATTTGATGCGGAGGCAGATTCTCTGCCCCCCTACTTTCCGTGTCCTCCTATTTTGTGTAGTCATGGTTAAGTAACGTCAACATTTTATATTATTTTTTTATAGAGACAATAAAAAAAATGAATAGTAATATAAAATGTTGACATGGTTTAACCGTGACCACACAAACAGGAGGGCACGGAGATGGCAGAGAATCTGCCTCCATTTGATGCTCCAATTCTTTATGGACATTACGTACGGCTAAATGTGTCCTTTTATTGAAAGGAAAACTAATTAAAAGAGTTTGAAAACTTTGAGTTTTAATGATAAGGACAAAATAAAGAGTAAAGTGAATAGTACCATGATTGACTTTTTAGTGTAAAAATGTGGTTTTTCGTTAAAGTGAACAGTACCGGGAGCTTTTCGTTAAGTTCCCTTTATTGAATTGGACAACGTTATATTGATATCATATATATTCAGAATTTTTTGGATATGTGCTTAAAGTGACAAGCTTAACAATCTATGTGATCCTTTCAAAATATTTAAATTCTTATCACATGAAATGTCTCATTCGTATCTTTTTTCATGGTTCTTAGATAAAACTTATTAATTCCACAAGCAATAATGTAGACCAATATAAGCAAGCAAATTATCCTAAAAAATATTCAAAATAAGAAATATAATTATAAGATTACTCTCACAGACTTTGAGATATACACAAATTAGTAGAGTTTTCTTTAATAACAAAAATGATTACAACGTTTAGCAATATAACTCATTAACATTATCGTCTGTAAAACAAACAAAAACAATGTATTTATGATCGACTGTTGTTCAATCGCACTCATTTACGCACGACTTATCGATTGCGTTGACCTAAATATAAGTGCGTTCTCGACAATCATATACAAACATCAATCGATCACCCGCACACGCTCACAATTGCCTGTGAGTTTTTTTATGCAGGTAACTGTGTTGAAGAAACCAAAACAGATCATTTCATTTCATGTCAAATAAAGAATCTTATGTCATGCAACATGTGATATTGATTTGATACGATATCTTTACTCTACCCGTGAGAAGCCGCGGTCAAATCCCCTAATAAAACGACATGTAGGTTCATCTCGCTTTTGAACAAGAATATGATTGTGTAAGATAATCGGAAGATAGCTATTTTAATATAAATTTATTTATTTATTTTATATCATACATTTGATTTGATGTGCCCCTTGTGATTATATAGTAGTCAGAAGATAGTCTTTATAATATAAAAAAAGATTATTATATAAAATAGTTCTTGAGATTTGCATGATCAATAGAAATAGTGATTGAGATTTAAAATAAATAGAAATGGTCCCTGAGATTGTCCACCATCCATGATTTTGGTCATTCCGTTAAAAACTCTTTGGGCAATTTTCAAAGCTTCGTAACTCAATCGATTCTTAACCATAATATATCAAAATAAAGATAAGAAAGTGTAGAACAAGATTAAACCTATTTGGAAGCCCAATGATTGCCGGAGATGGCTGAAAAATAGCCTGAAAGGTGACTGGTCCGCGGGAAAACTTGAAAACTCGCCAGAAACTAGGTAAACTTTAAACGTTCATAACTTCTTCAATACTCAATGAAATCGAGTGATTATGAAAATCATACTTCTCGACGAGACGAAGAGAATGATATCTTTCTTGACTGCTAACTCGCCATGGTTTAGCCATAAAACTGCTCTAAAGTGGCTAACTCGAAAATGGTTAGCCACTTTTGAGCTGTTGTCCGACCAAATCACGGCGAGTTAGCCTTTGAAAAAGGTACCATTCTCTTAGTCGCGTTGAGAAGTATGATATTCGTTTTGGAATCACTCAATTTTGATGAGTATTGAAGAAGTTATGAACGTTTAAAGTTTGCCCAGTTTTCGGAGAGTTTTTCAGTTTTCCCGCGGACCAGTCACCTTTCAAGCTACTTTCCGGCCATCTCCGGCAACCATTGGGCTTCCAAATAGGTATAATCTTATTCTACACTTTTATATCTTCATTTTGATATATTATGGGTCGAATTTGGTTAAGTTATAAAGCTTTGAAAATTGTTCAAAGCGTTTTTAACAGAAGAACCAAAATCATGGATGGTAGACAATCTCAAGGACCATTTCTATTGGTTTTAAATCTCAGAGGTCATTTCTATTGATCATGCAAATATCAGAGACCATTTTGTATAATAAGACTATAAAAAATTAGAATTTAAATCTTTGTTGTGAATACTGTTAGCAATTTAATCCAAAATTGAGATTTCCGTTGAGTGTCCCGTTAAAGTGCACCCGCATCCTATAGCTAAATAGATCCGAATGTATGGAATATATGACAAAGGTGGAGTGTTAGAGTATTTCTATTGATCAGTCATGTCATATAGGCCCGAGTCGGACATCCAATTGCTTCGATTTTCCGTAATTTTTTTATAGCTTCAACATCTATCAAATTTCATCTCTTATTCTTAACCTCCCTTTTCATCTTGATTCAATGTTACCCCTCTTTTTCTCAGTTGAATTTGGGATTGCTTTTGTTTGCGTTCGGTTGCTGGCTTCGTATTGAGGATAACCATGAGCAACAAGAAAGTGCGAGACAGAAGACATAGAGAAGAGGGGAGAGGTGTTCGTTTAAGGACACGAAAATACATGTTTACCCCTTTATTTTGACAGATTCTGACGCAAGTTTCACTTTTGAACTAAATTGTCAAATGGTCTTTCACCACAAGGGTGTAAATTCTAATTTTATTTTGTATCAAATGGGCTATGTTTCAACTATCCTATAATTACGAGAACCATTTGTCTAATTAAGTCAATAATATAAGACAGTGCATTTGTATTTTTTTTATTAACATACTTTAGAAGCGGAGAGCAATTTATATAAAATAGATATATCATCACAGTGATGTTTCATACCAATTTATGACGATATAATATTGTGACAATTTGTGCTGATTGTAAAGTAAAACTTACACCAATCTTGTATCATTGATACAAGAAGTCGCTATCCAAATATATTTGTACTATCTAAACTTCTCTCAAATAAAAGGTTAGTACTAGGGAGCTCAGCTTTTTAAACCAAATTTTATAAAACATATAACGCGGTTGTTAATGATTGAATTATTATTTGAGTGTCGATTAACGTACTTATTTTCTACTAATTAACACATCATGTAATATACAAATCTGATCTAAAAAGTTGGTTTATCTAACATTACTCCAAATAAAAACGTCTCAATCACCATTATTATATGGATATTTCTATTCACAAATCCCACACACCCGTTAACTTTTTACTAATAATCTTTATCAATTCATTCGATTTAACCATTAAATAAAAAGAGGAATGTTAAAAGTAAAAATAAGTATATAAATAACGCTTATCATATTATAATACCTAAAAGGATGATGTTGCGTGTGCACAGAAAGGCAAGAAAATCCTCAAAAAGCGGTTTTCACATCAACCCCGTTTCTGTCTCTTTCCCTTTCTGTCAAGGAGAGTCAGTTCATTTCTTCTCAGAAGAGTTAGGGTTTTGAAATGTGGAGGGAGAATGGAAATCTCTGAAGCTATCTCTCTTGTTCCCCCAGATCCCGAAACCCCCAGCACCAACCACGCTCATTCCGACCAGGGCTTTCTGCCTTCTTCTCCCAATCCCGCTCTCGCATCCTCTGGTCTCGATCATGCGGTCCTCGACGAGCTTCAGAAACTGGATTTGAAAGAGGAGGGGGAGGACGATGGAGAGCCTGATGAGGTGCAGAAGCTGGATTCAGTAGAGAAGGTGGAGGAGGATGGAGCTGGTGAGTTGCAGAAGGTGGATTTGAAGGCGGAGGATGGAGCTGGTGAGTTGCAGAAGGTGGATTTGAAGGCGGAGGATGGGGCTGGTGAGTTGCAGAAGGTGGAATTTTCTGAAGGCGTCGAAGTTCCCCTAAATCCGACGTCTGTTCCGTTACTTGCGCGGTCCGATCTCGTTCCTGAAATCCTTGATTGGATTCGGACACTCGACCCCGCCGTGCTCAATAGGATTAGGAATCGCGACCCTGCCATCCTCCATGAGATTCAGCAATTCGACCTTGAGATTCGGAACTTCGATCCTTCCATCGTTGATGAGATTGGGAACTTCGACCCTGCTTTCCCTTCGGATTTGAAGGCGGAGGAGGAAGGAGCTGGTGAGTTGCAGAAGGTGGATTCGAAGGCAGAGGAGGGTGGAGAGGGAGTGGAGGAAGAAGAGAAGAGTTCCGGTGAGCAAGAGATTGAGATTGTAAATGGAGAGAAAAATGAGAGGCAGAGTGAGCAGAGCGAGCAGAGTGACGGAGGAGAAGGGTGGGGAGGAAATCAGGGGTGGGAGGAGGATGGCGGTGGGGTGGAGGAGAAGAAGGCGGTGGAAACTCAGGAAAGTAACAGAAGGTATCAGTACCCAGTGAGGCCGGAAGCTGAAGACTGTTCATATTATCTAAAGACCGGGTCTTGCAAATTTGGATCCAATTGCAAGTTTAATCACCCTGTTAGAAGGAAACCCAACCAGGTATACCTCTTTATTTCCTTTTTTTCCGGTTTAAAAATCGAAACTTTTTGTTTATGTTTGCCCAGCCTGTGTTAATTTCAGCTGCAATTCTGCAGCAAAGGCAATTATGTGTTTGCATTTTTAGGGTTGTAGCTGAAATTCGTCTTTATTTTTTTGTTTACATACATTTTGGATGAGATTTTGTTTTAAAAATGGTGATGGCGAATTCTGATTGGCTTAGGCTGTATGATTAGAACATTTCTGCTATTGGTTCCCACATTTGGTTTGCTGGTGTTTTGACTTGTTCATATTGAAGGTGCCCAAGGAAAGGGTCAAGGATAAGGACGAGTCGGCAGAGAATCCAAGCCAGACGGAATGCAAGGTTATTATTGTTGTGATTTACATAAATTTTATATGTGAAGTTCTGGTTTTTAGTGCAGTTATTTGATCAACGTGTCACAAATCGTTATATTTTGTTTTTGTTCATGTATTTGGTATCCAAGTGGTCATTGTTATGATGGGGTTTTCTAATTCTGCTTATCTGAAAATTCGGTTGGCATGAATAACCGAATAAAATAGCTAAAAACTTTTATCTTGTAGCTAATACAGAATCCTGAGATTTGGAACTTTATTTGTCTATATCGTATGGGGAGGCATGTCATCTGTTTGATTAAATTATAGAAAGTTGGTAGTTGTTAAATTGTATGCTTTTTTCATGACATTCTTGTATTCCTTTATACAATAATTCCAATTATGCTTTCGGATGTCAGTAACAATTCTTCTCTTTGTGCCTTATATCCAATTATCTGCAATGTGTACGGCAGACTAGTAACAGTTTCATGATGAGATAACACTTGAGCTTGTTGCAGTATTACTTGAGGTCGGGTGGATGTAAGTATGGGGAAAATTGCAGATACAGCCACAGCAGAGAGAAACCTTCTGTAGCTCCAGTTCTTGAGCTTAACTTTCTGGGCCTGCCAATTCGACCAGTATACATTTTCTATCTAGCTTGCTAAGTTTTGAGAAATGAATATCTATTCACGATTTTTAAGATTTTATCTTTGCTTATTTTCTTGGTTTGTTGGACCTATTTACTATGTCTCTGTCAGTTACTGGGAATATTTATTTTTACTTGTTACAGGATGAGAGGGAGTGTCCGTACTATATGCGAAATGGCTCCTGCAAGTATGCATCGAACTGCAGGTTTAACCACCCTGATCCTACAACTACAGGAGGATCTGATCCCCCATCTGGATATGGTAATGGTGGTCCTGCATCTTTACAAGGTGCATCACAATCAACAGTGGCACCATGGTCTGCACCAAGGCCTTTGAATGAGTCTCCGGTTTACTCAACATTGATAATTCCACCACCTCAAGTAGTTTCTTCTCAAAATTCAGAATGGAATGGTTATCAGGTACTTTTTATTTAACTTTCCCATATTATAGTCTCGGGTTTGAATAACGTTGATCACTTTGATATACCAATTTACACTTTATCCGGAATTTGAGATCACGATTGTATGTTTAACTTTCTTATACTTTTCTGGCCGTGCTCTTTTTATTCATTTTTGGCTCGTAAAATTAATAATTTGGTCGTGCAAATATGCCATGAATTTTGTTCTTTAACCAGGACTCAAAGTTCCCAATAGTTTGACAAATTGCTGTCTGCAACATTTGTAGTAATTTATTTAGTTCATCTCTGCGGTCACAAGTCATTAATTGCCATCTATCAGTTTGTGAGGTCCCTTTTTGTTAATTGGTATCCCTATTGTTTTTCGTTGTGAACTTTTAGGCGTCAGCATATGTACCAGAAAGAATCATGCCTGCACGTCCGCCATACATGATGAACAACTCTCTGGCTGAAATCAACATCTACAAGCAATATCCACACCAGAATCAAGTTGAAGAGTTCCCAGAAAGACCTGGCCAACCCTTCTGCAGTTATTTCTTAAGAACGGGGGATTGCAAGTTTAAATCTAATTGCAAATATCACCATCCAAAAACTCATACTGCAGTAGCCCCCCAAATCGCACTTAGTGACAAGGGCCTGCCTTTGAGACCGGTAAGTTCACCCTATGCCATTTATAACAAGTTCATAATTTCGAAATATGATCTTAGAAAGGTTTTCACTTTGTGATACGTGAAGTTAAAACAAATGAATTACTATGCGAGGACAATTGTTCCCGAATCATAAATATTATTAACTAATTGTTCTCTTCCCTCTGTTCTAAGAGCCACAGTTTGATCGCATATTACATGATTGCACGCCATTGATCACACAATTTGTTTCAAAATCCAGGATCAGAGCATTTGCACACATTACAGTCGCTATGGCCTTTGCAAATTTGGGCCAGCTTGTAAATTTGACCACCCGTTACATATATCATCTTCAACTACATCTGGTCCTCATCATCAACTTCCTTTCAGTGATTTGGCAACTACTAACGGGGCAGGAATGGCTGGGAGCAGAAACGGAACTGATGTTACAAGTCAGCCGCAGCCCGTGCAGTAAGTTATGCATGAAATGCTTGCCTAGAGCACAGGATTTGCATCACTCAAACATGTGTAATCTTTCTCTTTTGGTAATTTAATCTTAGAAATGTATCAAACCTCTTCACCGGACGACACAGACTTTATAGTTGTGAGATTTTAAAGGAAATGGAACCTGTAAATTATTTCTCATCTATGTCATATTACTGGAAAACACTGAAGCCGAGAATAACCTTTCAATTTCGATGTCGCTGCCTATCCCGAGTACCGCAAATGGTTCGGTTGTGGATCTCGCTCGATAGAACCTGTGCCGGGATCTTCTGTTATGTATCGAACTTGCGGCGACGTTACGTGCATTGTCGATAAAACCTGTGCCGGGATTTTTTCATGGTATCAGAACATGTTGTCCCACATGTGAAGTCAAATAGCCACACGCGTTTCACGTCATCCCGTTGTGTTATTCACGTATTAGGTTTGAAAATTCATCACATGGGAGGGCATGTTGAGAATGTGTCTCACATGATTGGGCTAGGTTTGAAAATTTACCACACGTGAAGGGGTATGTTGAGAATGAGTCCCACATTGATGGAAGGATAGATAGCAAGAGATTGAGATACTCTCTATGTTGCTAATTAGTCTTCACATCTAAGTCACTTTTCCTAAAGCAGTTTTATGTTTTTTTTTGGAAAATAAGCAGCTTTGGAATTTAAAAACAATCCAAACATGCCTCTGAAAAAAGCAGACTTTGACTTGGCCAGTCAAAATATATTTTTATCATATGAGAGAGTTTGTTTCCTCCATAATGTAGTTGCTAGTTGCAAATTCACAGCAAAACCTAGCAACCCAGTTTCAGCTACCGTCGCCGCCGCATCCGCCGCCGCCATCAGCACAAAAACTATGTTGTCAGCGGCGCGTTTCCTCCTACCGTTGTCACTGTCAGTGCTGGTCGCAATTTATAATTACTATAAATCCAGACAGAAATCGGAATTTTCTGAAGGCGTCGGAGTTCCGCTAAATCCGACGTCTGTTCCGTCTCCTGCGCCATCCGATCGCTACCATGAAATCCTTCATTGGATTCGGACACTCGACACACTCGACCCCGCCTTGCTCAATAGGATTAGGAATCGCGACCCTGCCCTCCTCCATGAGATTCAGCAATTCGACCCCGCCGTTGAGATTCGCAACTTCGATCCTTCCATCGTTGATGAGATTCGGAACTTGGACCCTGCTATCCCTTCGGAATTTTCTGAAAGCGTAGGCGTTGCTCAAAATCCCCCGTCTGTTCCGTCTCCTGAGCCGTCCGTTGTTGAAATCCTTGATTGGATTGGGACACTCGGCCCCGCCGTGCTCGATGAGATTCAGCAATTCGACCCCGCCTTCCTCGATGAGGATCGGAGCTTCGATCCTTCCATCGTTGATGGGATTCGGAAATTGAGTTTGAAGGAAAAGGAGGATAAAGCAGAAGAGGAGGAGAAGGAGAGAGAGACTGAAAAGGAAAAGGAAAATGAGAAGGAGAGAGAGAGGGAAAAGAGCGAAAGCAGCAGCAGCGTCTGCGGCAGCGGAGGAGGGAATGAGAATGGCGGTGGGGTGGAGGAGGAGGTTGTTGGGGAGAGTAGCAGAAGGAATCAGTACCCATTGAGGCCGGAAGGTGGGGACTGTCGGTACGATCTGAAGACTGGCAATTGTAAGTTCGGGTCGAATCGCAAGAATAATCACCCTCGGAGAAGGAAAAACAAGCAGGTAAATCTCTCTTGTTCCGCATTTAGCATTTCCGTAGCAACCAAGTCAGAAATTTAATTAATATGAGGCATCTTAAAAAATTTAAACTCTTTTTTTTGAACAAATAAAATTAATTCTTTTCGTAAATACGGAAAAAAATTAGTTACAACATGCTTAATTTTATTATTTTAATTTTGTTTTTAATTATTATATTGACAATTTAATGCGCATATTCTTTTTAAAGCAAGTCCATCCTAAAAATCTTGCTAGGCAATAGTAAATTTAATCTACTCAAATGAAGAATAATTGACTGTAATAAATAGTAATCAATAGAGTATATCTCTGCCTCGTAAAATAATTGTTCTGGTAATTGATAATTAAAAATTAATAAAAATAAAAATATGTTATTGTTAATTTTATTTTTTATTTTCCTATTTCTTCTTTCTTCTTCTTCGTTCTTCCTGGAAACTCTCCCAGTCTCCCACCTTTTCCCGATCCCTTCCAAGGAGCAGTCCTCCGATCCATTTCTTCTTCTTTGTTCCTGGAATTTCCACAATTTTCCCCTCGAAGGCTGGGATTTGGGGATGTGGAGGCGAGCAGCACGATGTGGATGCTGGGTTCTCGACGGCGACGGCGAAGGCTCGACCTCCCTCGAAGGCTGGGTTCGCCAAACCTTCTCCAGGTTTCCCGATGGTCGTCGCAGGGGAGGGAGAAATCCGTCGGGAGAAAATAAAAAATCGATGACGTGAGCATGGCGTCAAGTAGGCCGGGTATTGAGTCAGCCGATTTTCTGCTGGGCAGCTTGCTGGCCTTCCCCGGAGCCCAGCGGATTGATTGGGGTGGACTGGGTTTTTGGGGAGGGAGGGGAAAAAATGGGCTGTTGCCCAGCTTAGAGTGTTGGGGGCTGGAGTTGCTCTTAGCATCTGCATATGTATGTTTATGGTAGAAAGATTGAGACTTTTCGTGTTTTCGTGGCCTCATCTTTCATTTTTGTTGGTGTTTTGACTTGTTCTTATTGAAGGTGCCCAAGGAAAGCGTCAAGGATATGGACGAGTCGGCAGAGAATCCAAGCCAGACGGAATGCAAGGTTATTATTGTTGTGATTCACAGAAATTTTATATTTGAAGTTCTGGTTTTTAGTGCAGTTATTTGATCAACGTCTCACAAATCGTTATATTTTGTTTTAGTTTATGTATTTGGTATCCTAGCGGTCATTGTTATGATGGTGGGGTTTTCTGAGTCCGCTTATCTGAAAATTAGGTTGGCATGCATAACCGAAACAAAAAGCTAAAAACTTTTATCTTGTGGCTAGTGCATAATCCTGAGATTTTGAACTTTATTTGTTTATGTTGTATGGGGAGGCATTTCATCCGTTTGATTAAATTATAGCAAGTTGATGAGTAGTTAGACAATCTCCACCGGATGGGTTTTCATGAAATTGTATGCTTTTTTCATGACATTCTTGTATTCCTTTATACAGTAATTCCAATTATGCTTTCGGATGTCAGTAACAATTCTTCTCTTTGTGCCTTATATCCAAATATCTGCAATGTGTACGGCAGACTAGTAACAGTTTCATGATGAGATAACACTTGAGCTTGTTGCAGTATTACTTGAGGTCGGGTGGATGTAAGCATGGGGAAAATTGCAGATACAGCCACAGCAAAGGGAAGCTTGAGCTTAACTTTCTGGGCCTGCCAATTCGACCGGTATACACTTTATATCTAACTTGCTAAGTTTTGAGAAATGAATATCTATTCATGATTTTTAAGATTTTATCTTTGCTTATTTTCTTGGTTTGTTGGACCTATTTATTATGTTTCTGTCAGTTACTGCGAATATTTATTTTTAATTGTTACAGGGTAAAAGGGAGTGTCCGTACTATATGCAAAATGGCTCCTGCAAGTATGCATCGAACTGCAGGTTTAACCACCCTGATCCGACAGCTACAGGAGGATCTGATCCCCCATCTGGATATGGTAATGGTGGTCCTGCATCTTTACAAGGTGCATCACAATCAACAGTGGCACCATGGTCTGCACCAAGGCCATTGAATGAGGATCCGGTTTACTCGACACTGATGATTCCACCACCTCAAGTAGTTTCTTCTCAAAATTCAGAATGGAATGGTTATCAGGTTCTTTTATTTAACTTTCCCATCTCAGAGTCTCGTGTTTGAATAACTGTGATCACTTTGATATACCAGTTAATACTTTATCAGGGATAAGAGATCACGATCATTTTGTATGTTTAACTTTCTTATACTTTTCAGCCATTCTCTTTTTATTCATTTCTGGCTCATAAATTAATAATTTGCTCGACCACATTTGCTATGAATTTTTATATATAACCAGGACTTAAAGTTCCCAATAGTTTGACAAATTGCTGTCTGCAACAGTTATAGTAATTTTTTTAGTTCATATCTCTGCATTCACAACTCGTCAATTGGCATCCTTATCAGTTTGTGAGGTCTCTATTGTTAATTGGCATCCCTATTGTGTTTCGTTGTGAACTTTTAGGCTTCCGCATATGCACCCGAAAGAAGCATGCCTGCGCGTCCGCCATACATGATGAACAACTCAGTGGCTGAAACCAACGTCTACAGGCAACATCCACACCAGAATCAAGTTGAAGAGTTCCCAGAACGACCTGGCCAACCCTTATGCAGTTATTTCTTAAGAAAGGGTGTTTGCAAGTTTAAATCTAAGTGCAAATATCACCATCCAAAAACTCACCGCAGTAGGCCCCCCAATCGCACTCAGTGACGAGGGCCTGCCTTTGAGACCGGTAAGTTCACCCTACTCTGACCATGCCTTTTATAACGAGTTCATAATTTCGAAATATGATCCTAGAAAGGTTTTCACTTTGTGGTACATGAAGGTAAAACAAATGAAATACTATGCGAGGACAATTGTTCCCGAATCATAAATATTATTAACTAATTGTTCTCTTCCCTCTGTTCTAAGAGCCTCAGTTTGATCGCATATTACATGATTGCACGCCATTGATTACACAAAATTTGTTTCAAAATCCAGGATCAGAACATTTGCACACATTACAGTCACTATGGCATTTGCAAATTTGGGCCAGCTTGTAAATTTGACCACCCGTCATCTGGTCCTGATCATCAACTTCCTTTCAGCGATTCGGCAACTACTAACGGGGCAGGAATGGCTGGGAGCAGAAACAGAACTGATGTTACAGGTCAGCCGCAGCCCGTGCAGTAAGTTATGCATGAAATGCTTGCCTAGAGCACAGGATTTGCATCACTCAAACATGTGTAATCTCACTTTTGGTAATTCAATCTTAAAAATGTATCAAACCTCTTCACCGGACGACACAAACATTATAGTTGTGAGATTTTAAGGGAAATGGAACCTGTAAATTATTTCTCATCCATGTCATATAACCGGAAAGTACTTTAGTCGAGAATATCCTTTCAATTTCGTTGTCGCTGCCTATCCCGAGTATCGCAAATGATTCGGTTGTTGATCTCGATCGATAAAACATGTGCCGGGATCTTCTGTTATGTATCGGACTTGCGGCGACGTTACGTGCATTGTCTATCTTGCATGTAACACTGGTTATATTTGCATATACAACACCAAGCTAAAAGACAAACCCATATTACAAAATAGCATGTTTGTAGGTCACGGCATCTGAGTGGAGCTGTGAAGGTGATGGAGAACCTAGGACTAGCAAACCTAGGTCATACGAGTGAACCTAGGACAACCTTTGACCCAAAAAAAAAAAAAAACCCTAGGACAACCAAAATGGAGAGTAAAGAGAGTTGACTCAGCCTGAAATAACTGGGAAATTTTGTTTGAGAGTTAAAAATATTTTTACGACGCGGTTACTAATTCGAAATTGGAATGATTGATCAAATTAATCAGGAGATGAATAAGAAGGAATTGGAATGATTGATCAAATTAATCAAGAGATGAATAAGAAGGAATCAAAATTCTGAGTATTATTATGAAGGACTTAGCCCACACATAGATCTTATATGTCAACGCATTATTGTTTTAAGTATCGTCACATTGTAGCAATATTTTCTAAACCAGCGACTGCTTGGAAGTGTATTCGATCCATGTAAGTCATTCTGTTATTATGAGACTAGCATATGGGCGCACACAAAGTGTGAGAATTTTTTTTTTTTTTTTTTTGGGTTTTTCAAATAGAAGGAGAGTGGAAGAGAGTGGAAGAGAGTGATAGAGAATGTGGGAGTGTATGTAGGTGAGGCTTTGAAAAAAAAAACAGTAAAATTTAGTAATATGAAATTACATTTATGTCTTATATTTCTTATTTATGTTATGTTTTAATTAAAGGATTAAATTGATAATTTCACATGATTTTGGTTAACGAGTGTTTTATTAATTAATACAGAATCACTTTTCCTAAAGCAGCTTCTAGACAAAGCAGATATGAGAGAATTTGTTTCATCCATAAACGTAGTTGCTAGTTGCAAGTTCACAACAAAACCTAGCAACCCAGTTTCAGCTACTGTTAGAACCTTATCGGGTCCACCTTCTTTACCTTTTATTACTATCCTTTATTGTAGTGAGAGTAGTTATTAGAGGATGACTCAGCACTTGAGCCTTTTGTTTGTGTTGGCTAATGGGTTATAAGCACCCCCAATTGTATCTCCTCGGATTATGAAATGAATATGCTTTAACTTTTCTACCTAACTTAGCTGTCTTCCTTTTATTTCTTCCTCTGTGAATTGGAGTCCTATCAATTGGTATCAGAGCCTAGTTGGGCGTCCATGGGCAAGAGCAAGGCCTCTGTGACGGTGGCCGAGGTTTCCGAGGCGGAGCTTGACCTGGACTTTCAGCAGCAGCAAATCCTCACCCAACTACATGGATTCCAAGAGGCAATGACGCTGATAAACCTCCGTCAAGATGATTTTCAGCATCATATGGCGGATCTGCAACAGTCTCTCGCCAGCCTAAATGTTCACCAGACTCAACAAAGTAAATTTCAGCAGACCCTCATCGAGGAGATTCGATCTTTAAAACACCCACCCACAACCCAACCCAGTCCCTAGATTCTGATTGGTTCCATTCCGGTTTCGCTCGGATGCGGGCCCTTTTCCATTGCCCACACCACCCTTCCCCTACCCACTTGGAGCACTTCCCCTTCTCCCTCACGCACTACCCCGTTTGTAGCCGGTCCTTCCATTCTGTCCTACGACCATACACCATTTTCCTCGGTCCTCCTCCACCCCCTCTAAACCTTTCTTTCATTCCACCGTTGTGCCCTTCATGTCCACTCCTGCTTCCCGTTCCTTACCGGCCGCCACACCGACTTTTCCCCCTAAGCCCATATTACGCCTCGCCCAAGCCGAAATGCGCGCACGGAGGGAACATGGGCTCTGTTTTAATTGTGATGAGCAGTATTGGCCGGGTCATCGTTGTCGGCAATCCCACATCCTCATGCTTTTGGCGGATGAGGATTTCTCTGACTTCCAGTCGAAACCCAAGACCTCCAACCCACTTGACCCTTCCATAGGGGACCAACCGGCGCCACCTATTGCTCTCAATGCCATCTCGGCTACAAAGCGTTCCCGGGGACGAGCTATGCATTTGGAAGGCGTCCTCCACCATACTCGGATTCAAGTGTTCATCGATTCTGGGGCTGACCAGAGTTTTCTTAATCCTCAGGTCGCTGCCCGTTTAGGTCTTCCAATTGATTCAACTTCCAATGAGGCCGTGATGGTGGCCACGGGCCGCTACTTTCGCACAAAGGGTATGGCTCGCAATGTCTCTGTTCACCTTCGGGGGTATGACTTCCGTGCTGACTTCCACCTTCTGGCAGTAGTCGGGTGTGACATGGTTTTTGGAGTGGATTGGTTGGAAACATTGGGCCTTATTGGCTTCCTTCTGAAAGTCATAGAGTTCACTGTGCAGGGCACCAATTATCGTCTAGTAGGTTCTTCAGCCCATTCAGCCGGGGCCATACCTCCATTGTCTTCCTTGGATCCTTCCCTTAGGAACCCTTTCCATATTATGGCGCAGATCTCCAATTTACCAACAGGGTTATATCATCCAGCACCACTACCCGACATCCTTCAAGCCTTACTACTCCAGTATTCTGACATTTTTTAAGCCTCCACTACCCTACCCCATCACCGGCTCATTGATCACCGGATTTCTCTGCTTCCGGGAACTGGCCCCGTGAATATGAGACCCTATCATTATGGACATGCTCAAAAAGCTGAACTTGAACAGCAGGTGGAGGAAATGTTAGCTACGGGTATTATCAAGCCCAGTCACAGCCCATTTTCTTCACCGACGCTCTTAGTGGCCAAAGAGGATAATACATGGAGGTTTTGTGTGGACTATCGGGTTTTGAATTCTGTCACTATCAAAGACCGTTTTCCAGTCCCTATTATTGATGAATTATTGGCCGAGTTACGGGGTGCTGTTATATTTTCGAAGCTCGACTTGTGTTCGGGGTATCACCAGATACGGATGCATGAACCGGACATTCCTAAAATCGCTTTCCGAACACATGAGGGGCACTATGAGTTCACGGTCATGCCATTCGGCCTGACCAATGCTCCAGCCACCTTCCAGGCATTAATGAATTCCATTCTGAAGCCCTTGCTGCATAAGTCAGTGATAGTTTTCTTTAATGATATATTGGTTTTCAGTGCCTCTGTGGAACAACATGTCTCACATTTAGCTAAGGTGTTTGAGCTCTTACGCACTTATCAATTCAAATTGAAGCATTCGAAGTGTCTGTTTGGCCAGCCTTCAATTGCGTATTTGGGACACATTATATCCGTCACAGGGGTGGTCGTGGATTCCTCTAAAATTTCTGCGATTTCAGATTGGTCGACACCAACCACTGTTCGGGCCCTTCGTGGGTTTTTGGGTCTCGCAGGCTACTATCGCAAATTTGTCCATCATTTTGGCATAATAGCACGACCACTTACGGACTTATTACGCACTGACAGTTTCCAATGGTCCACCAACGTTGCTCAGGCCTTCTCGGCCCTCAAACAGGCATTGTCTTCCACACCGGTCCTCGCTCTTCCAGACTTCACCAAACCATTTACGGTTAAGTGCGATGCCTCTGATAGTGGTATTAGCGTCGTCTTATCACATGAGGGTCATCCCATTGGGTTCCTTAACAAACCTTTAGCTCCAAAACACCAGGCTCTTTCGGTGTATGATAAGGAGATGTTGGCGGTGGTCTTTGCGGTCCAAAAATGGCGTTCTTATTTGATAGGCCATCAGTTCCGGATCCTTACTGACCACCAGACTTTGAAATATTTCCTTGATCAGCGCATCACTACTTCAACTCAACAAAGGTGGTTGTTGAAGTTACTTGGTTATAACTATACGCTGGAATATCGGCCGGGCACTTCGAACGCCGCTGTTGATGCTCTTTCCCGACGTCCTGAGGTTCTTGGGTTAATGGGACTATCTCAGCCTCTTTTTGATTGTATCGCTGCGATACAAGCAGACTATGCCACTGATCCTCAGGCCTCTTCACTGTTGGCGGCCTTGCAACAGGACCTGGAGCGTCATGCTTTATTTAAACTCCACGGCGATCTCTTATACTATAAGAAGGGGGTTTTTTGTTGCTGCCTCTTCCCCTTGGCGAGCACGCCTCCTTGCTGAGTTTCATTCTTCACCATCTGCGGGACACTCGGGCTTTCTACGCACTTACAAGAGGTTAACACTCAATTTCAATTGGCCGGGGCTAAAAAAAGATGTTAAAAAGTTTGTGGCTGCCTGTGACACCTGCCAGTGTACAACGTATGAGACGATTAAACCACCAGGCCCCTTGCAACCTCTGTCCATTCCCACCAACGTATGGCACGACATTGCCACGGATTTCATTGAAGGCCTTCCTTCGGTCCATGGGCGCAACGTTATTTTCGTGGTAGTGGATCGTCATTCCGGTCAAACACCCATACTCGGCGGCCAAAATCGCTGATATCTTTATTCACGAAGTCTTTCGCCTTCATGGCATGCCGGCTTCCATAGTGAGTGATCGGGATCCAGTCTTTATTAGTGATTTTTGGATTGCCTTCTTTAAACAGCAGCACACCACTCTTTGCAAGAGCTTGGCGTATCATCCACAATCCGATGGCCAAACCGAAGTGCTCAATCGCACCCTTGAACAATATCTGCGCAGTTTTGTAAGGGACAAACCCAATGATTGGATACAGTGGCTTCCTTGGGCCGAGTGGTGGTATAATACTACCTATCAAGCTGCCATTCAAATGACCTTTTTTCAGGCAGTCTATGGCTACCCACCACCAACGGTGTCCTCCTATCTTCCTGGCTCTTATCTGGTTCATCTGGTTGATGTCACCCTTCGAGATCGCGATGCCCTGCTCAGGCAATTGCGGGAGAACCTGCACCTCGCTCAACATCGGATGC